CCTGATGAGGTGGCGGATGGTCTCCTGAGGGATCTCCTCCCAGACCTGGACTAAAGCATCTGTAAACTCATGGATAGTCTGTGGTGCAACGTGAAGTTGGTGGATGGAGCGAGACACGATGTCCCAGATGTGCTCAATTGGATTCAGGTCTGGGGAACGGGCGGGCCAGTCCATAGCATCAATGCCTCCGTCTTGCAGGAACTGCTGACACTCCAGCCACATGAGGTCTAGCATTGTCTTGCATTAGGAGGAACCCAGGGCCAACCGCACCAGCATATGGTCTTACAAGGGGTCTGAGGATCTCATCTCGGTATCTAATGGCAGTCAGGCTACCTCTGGCGAGCACATGGAGGGCTGTGTGACCCCCCCAAAGAAATGCCACCCCACACCATTACTGACCAACTGCCAAACCAGGCATGCTGGAGGATGTTGCAGGCAGCAGAATGTTCTCCACGGCGTCTCCAGACTATGTCACGTCTGTCACATGTGCTCAGTATGAACCTGCTTTCATCTGTGAAGACCACAGGGCGCCAGTGGCGAATTTGCCAATGTTGGTGTTCTCTGGCAAATGCCAAACGTCCTGCACGGTGTTGGGCTGTAAGCACAACCCCCACCTGTGGACGTCAGGCCCTCATACCACCCTCATGGAGTCTGTTTCTGACTGTTTGAGCAGACACATGCACATTTGTGGCCTGCTGGAGGTCATTTTGTGGAGGTAGCGGTCCTGCTGCTGGGTTGTTGCCCTCCTACAACCTCTTCCACGTCTCCTGATGTACTGGCCTGTCTCCTGGTAGCACCTCCATGCTCTGGACGCAACGCTGACAGACACAGCAATCCTTCTTGCCATAGCTCGCACTGATATGCCATCCTGGATGAGCTGCACTACCTGAGCCACTTGTGTGAGTTGTAGACTCTGTCTCATGCTACCACTAGAGTGAAAGCACCACCAGCATTCAAAAGTAACCAAAACATCAGCCAGGAAGCATAGGAACTGAGAAGTGGTCTGTGGTCACCACCTGCAGAACCACTCCTTTATTGGGGGTGTCTTGCTAATTGCCTATAATTTCCACCTGTTGTCTATCCCATTTGCACAACAGCATGTGAAATTGATTGTCACTCAGTGTTGCTTCCTAAGTGGACAGTTTGATTTCACAGAAGTGTGATTGACTTGGAGTTACATTGTGTTGTTTAAGTGTTCCCTTTATTTTTACACACACACATACACATACACACACACACACACACACACACACCCCTAGAGCTATATCAACCTGAAAATATTTATAAAATTTGATTGCTTAGTGCACAGCACACCAGATCATTTCTGAGGTCAATTGAAACCAGAAATGTGTGCGCCACTTTGCCACTTCACACCAAGCTGCTAAATATAGACGTTTAAAGGGCCACTATAGTGCCAGGAAAACATACTTGTTTTCCTGGCACTATAGTGCCCTGAGGGTGCCCCCACCCTCAGGGACCCCCTCCCGCCCGGTTCTGGAAGGGGGAAAGGGGTAAAACTTACCTTTTTCCAGCGCTGGGGGGAGCTCTCCTCCTCCGATCCTCCTCCCCTCGGCTGAATGCGCACGCGCGGCAAGAGCTGCGCGCGCATTCAGCCGGTCGCATAGGAAAGCATTCATAATGCTTTCCTATGGACGCTGCGTGCTCTCACTGTGAAAATCACAGTGAGAAGCACGCAAGCGCCTCTAGTGGCTGTCAATGAGACAGCCACTAGAGGATTAGGGGGAAGGCTTAACCCATTCATAAACATAGCAGTTTCTCTGAAACTGCTATGTTTATGAAAAAATGGGTTAACCCTAGCTGGACCTGGCACCCAGACCACTTCATTAAGCTGAAGTGGTCTGGGTGCCTAGAGTGGTCCATTAATGTTTTTCAGATAGTCACAGTGAGAATGCTGTTGGTAGGAAAGCAAGAAATGCAATTCTAATACTTGTTTTCTTCACATTTGAAGATGACAGGATGGAGACAGTGGACAATTATGTTATTGTTGGTGCTTAAAGTCGTCATATAAATGAGTATTTCATCCTAGAATGTATAGGAGCCCAGATTACTGGTGGTTGCCCTGCAGTGCAACCAATCAGATGCCTAGGTGCAGTGCTGCTTTACCACTGTTGTGTGAATAAAAATACCCATGAGAATGCAGAGTCCAAATAAAGGAGGCATTACTTACCATCTAGAACTGCCATCTATGATCTATTTTACTAGGGGTATAGTTTTAAAGGAACCTTTTGTTCATATGTAGTAGGTATAGTTATTCTGGCAGGACATTTTAGCTTTCATTTGATAAAAAAATACTGACTATATAGATCCAGCCAAGGGAAAACCCTAAACTCTAATGGTTCCTAATGTGCTTTGGGTGAGTCCATTCATCACTCAATTACAGACTCAATATTCAATTTTTCTAATGCAATGAAGACCCACATTTGAGGCAGGTAACAAGCCTTATCCTGGTGCATGTGTAGGCAACCTTCGGCACTCCAGATGTTGTGGACTACATCCCCCATAATGCTTTTACAACCATAATACTGGCAAAGCATCATGGGAGGTGTAGTCCAAAACCTCTGGAGTGCTGGAGGTTGCCTATGCCTGTCCTAGGGTTTTTGCAAGAATAGTTTGCAGGTTGGCTACTTCTGGTTAATGCTTATACTGATAATCATGGCTACCATCAGATATTTTGGGGCTACTTACACAACTCAAGGTATAGGGTCTGCCCACAAAGATTCAGTGTGTGTATAGTGGATGCAGAGTGTGTGTGTAGTGGACTTAGTGTATGTATTTTTGTAGTGGATAGAGTATGAGTGTTTGCGTAGTGGATTCAGCTTATGTATCTGTAAATATGTGGGCTGTCAGCTGCTATATAGTGGAGACTGGGCCCAGCAAATGCCATCTTCAGCCTCCAGCCTTCACTTTCTCGCAAGCCTGTTATCGAGGGAACCTATTTATGTCACTGGCCAATATAATTTCTGTACTTGTATTGGGTGTCATGAAGGGTACGCCATGCCATTTTAAAGCCTTCCTAGAATAGAGAGAGATGTGCACCTGTACTCTGGCTACAGGGCAGGAGGCAGTTAATTTATTGATATACAGTCAAATGATATTTATACCTGCACCATAAGCCTGCCTGTTTAGACATGCCCCCTCACTCCAGAAAAAGACTGTCACTAGATGCAGTTTTACAATGTAATTATTGCAGTTTCTCAAAAACTGCAATGATTTACAGTGCATAACCAAATTGGACAGAGACACTGCATCCAGACCACTTCAATGAGATGAAGTAGTACAAGGTCCTCATTACAGGTACAATTCTTGTATATTATAAGTTTCTCATGAGTATATATATTTTTTTATGTCTAGGAAACACAAAATGAATTGCACTTTAAATGGTGAAACATATCTTAACACCCCTATTAATTTTTGAAATCAGGTTTTCGGCTTCACCCATTTATACACCATAGCTATGAAATCTCCATAGACATTGGCAGCACAATTCAATAACTTTTAAAGTGGTGTGGTCTATGGATGCCAACTTTACCACAAGTCTGTGAAATTGCTGCCTTACTAGATCTTGATAATTTAACAGTAAGAGTTAATATAGTGGCATCCATATAATATAGAGGGATGGGGGGCAAGCAGCCGAGCAGAGTGAGCTCCTCAGCACTTTTCGGATTTTGGCATATAAAACCAACTTTGTGTGGTTATATTTGACATTTCTAAAAGGCAAATACTTCGATACTGCATGGGAAGCTTGTTTTTGGAAGTTTATCTTGGCATTTCGGAGGTTTACCTTGCGAGGCCTAGTAGGACGGGAGAAGCGAGCAATTGCCCATCCTTGAAACAATTGCCCATCCTTGCCTCCTCCTCCCCCACCCCCCTTGGGCTGGCGGAGGTTATCCCTGTCTCACACTTGACCTGGCTTGATACAGCAAGGACTCAATCTCTAGATTCTACATATGCTATAATACCTAGTGGCATGATCTAAGACAGCTGACGAACACTACACAACATCCATGGAGGAACCAAATATACTGGACTCTACACATTGCTACATTTTATTGGCCTTCGATCTGGGGATTTTTTTTAGGGTTTGGCATATGCTAATTAGTTCTAGTGCAGGGTAGCCTTAAAGGACCACTATAGTGCCAGGAAAACACTCGTTTTCCTGGCACTATAGTGCCCTGAGGGTGCCCCCACCCTCAGGGACCCCCTCCCGCTGGGCTGGATGGCGAGGAAAGGTGTTAAACTTACCTTTATTCCAGCGCCGGGCGGGGAGCTCTCCTCCTCCTCTCCGGCTGAATGCGCATGCGCAGCATTCATAATGCTTTCCTATGGACGCTGGCGTCTTCTCACTGTGATTTTCACAGTGAAAATCACGCAAACGCCTCTAGTGGCTGTCAATGAGACAGCCACTAGAGGCTTTAGAGGCTGGATTAACCCATTTATAAACATAGCAGTTTCTCTGAAACTGCTATGTTTATAAAAAAAAAAAAAGGGTTAATCCTAGAGTGACCTGGCACCCAGACCACTTCATTAAGCTGAAGTGGTCTGGGTGCCTAGAGTGATCCTTTAAAGCTAGATAGTAAAAGGAGATTTTATACAGTTAGGTGCTTCCAACTCTTTGGCAGCAGTTTGAGTAAGGTTTTAGCATAGCTGTACCCATTTACAAAATGAGGTTCATTGAGACATGGTTTGCGGAGTTTGGTGTGGAGGAATTTAAGTTGTCTCCACAGAGTCCTGACCTCAACCCTAACTCTCTCTCTCTCTCTAAACTATATAGCGTGTTGTATTAAATGAGGAAGACAACAATTTATGTCACTGTCAAATATAGTCTTGGTCTTATTAGGAGTTCAGTACAGATAGTTCTAGAATATTATTTGTATTCATCTAATTAAAACCTAAGTATCCAGTAAACGTTCTATTATCTAACAACACGAATTCCTGGATTAACAGTTTATTGACAGACACAGCCCTGTAAATCAGGGTCTCTGGTGTAGAGATACAGCCAGCCGGATTAGGGTCTCACAGAATGAGGTGTACTGGGATCTCGGATGAGAGCAGGTATTTCCAGACCGGTGTTGCAGGTTAAGTCCCTGGGGCCGCCCACACGTGCTGGATTAGCATTCCCTTCCGTGTGAGCAGAACTTCCTGGTGCAGCCTCTTTATTCACCCACCCTGCAGAAGAGGGTTCCTGGCAAGACATGGAGAGACTGAACTTCCAAGGGGCTGCAGGGGCAATAGATGATTACTTGGAATATAGGAGGTGAGTCCTGCAGAGAATTCATAGGAATATGTCATTGTGGCTAATAATCAAAGAACATTCAGCTACAAATGGTGCTTTCCTGGCTCAACTATTATCCATTAGCGATAATGTATATGTATTGGTTGCTTAGTTACTAAAGAACGAAAAATGTCACTTCTGTTCCTTTTAGATAAAGGGGTGAGCGAATTCTAACAGATCTAAAACTCCATTGGTTTTAAGATTACTATACATGTTGGGTCCAAAGTCTTACAGAATGGATAGTTATTGAGTGAGCAATGTAATCCAGTATCCAGGGCAAAATGATAAGCCAAATATGGAGCAATGTGCATGATGCATGCTTTTAGAGGTTGCTATGCACCCCTGCACAAGGCAGTGTTTGATGATCACAATCACACGTGCTAAGCAGGGGATGCACAGTATTATAATACCTGTAGTATTATTATTTTTTTTAAACAGTATTATAAGAGGGTTTTTTTCGTTTTAGTTCTCAACACAGATGGTAAACATGCTAAATTGCTCATAGACCATATTCACATGAAGAACTGCATTTGCAGGAAGTATACATTTTAAGTGCATAATTATTTACTAGGAATTCATTGTAGGGATGAGGTGGAACAGTGCACAGTGTTTATATCTAGTGATTAATGTGGGTTTTATTAATTAAACTGTAAACTAGCGGAGGAAGGGGAAGGAAAATGAAAACCTGAATGGAAGTAGCTAAGATAATAGTAAGGGAATGTTTCTAAAGCCTGGCTGAGCGTGATAGGAGTTACTATCTATAGCACGTTGAAGTCCTTCTAAACCTGTAACCTAGGGTACACCGCTTTTCCAAATTTTGTGTTTCAAATGCTGCTCCCCCCTGTTTAATACTGCAGCAGTCAGTCATACAAGTGTTGCCCTGTTTATCAGCAACTCTTTCTAAAAGTCGAGATTTTTAAAGTGATTCCCCTGAATCCCAGTGTTATTGTGAAGAATATGCCAGGGGGTGGTAAAGGTGATGTTAACAGCAGAACACTTTACCTCTTCTCCATTGTGAGTACAGCCAGAGTATGCTGTTACATGTTTGTGCTATTGTAGATTCCTACAAGGGTATATATTTTCTTGTATTTCTTTTTTCCAGAATTGTTGGCGAGGATGATGGCGGAAAACTTTTTACTCCAGAAGAATATGAAGAATACAAGAAAACAATACTTCCAGCACGACTGCAGAACAGATTATATGTCAGTTGGAGATCACCAACTGGTATGGACTGCAAGCTTATAGGACCAGAGACTCGATGCTTTTGTACTCACAGGTAAAATAATGAATATATGACTAAAGGTATTAGTAGAATATACAATATGTTTCAGTCAATTTTGGTTTGGCTCAAGGTGGAGTGTAACTACTCTTAGCCATACTGTCATTGAAATGCTGTTTTACAATGGAACGAGTGATGGCATCTGGACACTCCAAGCACCATAATCATGTCAATGTGATCAAGTGGTTATAGTGCCTACAGAGTTTTTTTAATGGTTTTTGCTTTCAACAGAACTGTCGTGCTTTTTGTTTTGGTTTGACCTTCTGATTTTTTTTTTTTCATTTGTGTTCAAAACTAACAAAGTTATGTGTTTCAGATGCAACATCTGTTATAGCATCCCTCTGTGTTGATCATTTAATATTCCAGATATAAACAGCACAAAACAGATTTTAAGGAGCTCCCTAAGGATCGGCCAATTCATTTGCCTTGTAAAGTGAGTCGCTGTCCTTGCAAATCATATCACTATGTTCCACTCAATGGATCACAGCCAATTCGCTGTCGATGCAAACACTTCGCTGATGATCACAGTGTAGCAGGCGACTTTCACTGCAACAAATGTAAGATATTTTTTTCCATATACAGCAGGTTGTGTATAAGGTAATAAACACAACTAATAAATCTGACTATGTATATATCTACCTATGATCAAAATTTCAACTCTTGAGCTATCAACTATATCTATAATCTAATCCACACTTCCAAAAGCACGTGAACAGCATAATTTAAAATACATTATACGTTCACAACATGGGTCGTCCGTGTGTCTATATGCAAAGGTGTATTAATGAGCAGTGTGAGATGTACATGTGAAATGCAAGTGTAATGATTAATTTTGCAGTGTATATGAATTCAAGAATGTACTTGTGTGAAAAGTCTGTATTTGAATGCAGGGGTTGATTTTTCTTGGTGTGTCAATGTGTGAATGAAGGGGGTGTGTGATCACCTTTTACTGCTTCCCTTTACCAAGACATGTTCCCTTCCCTAATTATTTCCCATTCTCACTTTGTTGCCATTTTCCATCTTTTTCTATGCCACTTCCTTTTCTCCCTTTGTCCTTTTGCTGTCCTCATTCATGTTGCTTCTCTACATGTCCCTGTACTCTTTCTATTTGCTCCCACACTCCCCATATTGCATAGAGAATAACAGTGTACAATGTATCCAGAACATATCTCTTGTAATCAATGATGGAATTTGTCCTTTTCCAAGGCTCAAATGTCAGCTGTGCTAAAAAGGGACGCAGTTTGCCTCTTTCTTCCAAGTACTTCATCTAGCATGTGACAAAGTGGAGACCTACTGAATTAATGGTAACAGCTAGGTTTTGAGCTGCTGCCCAGGAGATTGATACCCATAACCTTGGGTTAACATGTATGTCCTGACACATTCCTAAAAAAACAAACGAGTATATCTAAGTGCTCAGCTCAACACTACAAATCATTAATAAATCATGGGAAAATGATTTATTCTTCAGGTCCTGAACACAGCCATAAACCACCAGAACTTAGGTCTCTGTGATTATGATGCCTCTAGAAACCTCTGGGTGGCATTGTTTTCTAATAATGCACGCTTCACTATTATATATCCTTGTTTTCTAAAAATACAGGTTTAAAGGGGAATTACTCTGGAACAAACACATTGAAAACAACCTAGTACATGTGTTTGTGTCTCATTTTCTTTTGAAATTTATATTATTTAGCAAGTGACATTGAGTTCAGTACAGTCACAGCAAGAGTACAAACTGCAGATGAGGAGAAAAATACATTTTGTTTAATTTCTCTTGTTCTCTATAATCTTTCTCTGTGCTGACTGTGAGGTACAAAAGACAGTCGGAGCCTAGCGCTGCACACTCTGCGATCTGCCTCTGTCTACAGAATGCCTGGGCTCTGTGCACACATTTAGGATCAGCTCTGCTTGGTGGACAGTTGCCAAGGACTGCTGTTAATTGGTTGTGGGAGCAGTCAGCTGGGACACTATATAGTTCGGAATACAGGTTTGTATTCCTAATACTATAGTGTTCATTTAATGAAGCAATTATGGTATATCGATCATGCTGATGCAGTCTCAAAGCCTAATTATCTGCCATTTAGAAGGTTGAATTACATTGGTCATGTAGCCCTATCCAAAACTCCCCTGACTGTTACTCACCCAGCCACCATGAAAAAAAAAAAAGATTTTAATTTTATAGCACAGTGTATTTACTTTACTTGCTATGCTCTTATCTCTTTGCTTTGATAATTGAACATTAGATGCTCCTATCTCTTATGCTCTGATAATTAAACTTTAAATGCACACTAGAGTTTACTGTACACTCTAGCAGGTGTTTAACATAGGTAGAGATAATAAATTCTAAATGAAACACATTGAGCAACAAGGAAAGCAATTAAATGTGAGCACTATTTTCAGGATATGTGTAGGGAGGCTGTGTGAGTGGCCACAGGAGGTGTGATTTTGGTTGCATAAACAAAGTGAATTAACTCCTAAATAGCAGATAATTGAATTGAGCAGTGAGAAGAAAATGGCATTATCTATACACAAAGACTACTTAAAGGGATACTGGCCACATGCGGGTCTAATGCCCATGCGCGCACATTAGACTTCCCCATTGAATCAATGCTTTCCTACAGGGAAAAATATGACGCTGGAGGTCCTCATACAGCGCGTGAGGACGTCCAGCGTCCGGTACCGGACCAAAGATCCATTTCAATTCAGGAGGCCCTCTAGTGGCTGCCTGGTAGACAGCCACTGGAGGCAGACTTAGAGCTGCAATGTAAACATTACAGTTTCTATGGAACTGCAATGTTTTACATTGCAGCACTACGTGCAAAAGGTAAAGTGTCCCGTTAAATAAGATAATGTTGTTTTGGTGCTTAAAGTTTCTTTGAGCTATATACAAGATAAAAAAAGAGATGCAGCTTGCTGCACTTTCCTAGGCCTAACTCCTAGAACTGATATGTATAAAGAAGAAAGTTTTCATATCCTTTTTTAGTAACAGATCCATACAACTTGTCATGCATTGGCGGGTTACCCAGGGCATGAACAAGAGCAGAACACTTTCTTTGCCTGGAGAAAGCCCTAGCCAAAAGTGTATGCTCACATGCAAAAGATTATACTAATGCATATTTTTCCTTTTCAAACCAGGTTCAAAATGTGCAGGCTTTCACAGTTCCTTCACTTGTGGATGTACTCAACCGGCCTACGCTCATGAAACTGTTGTGGAAACAAAAGAAGAACGTCTTGCACACGGAAAACCTGTGGGACGAGATGTGCCATATGCTGCGATGGGAGGGTTGACTGGCTTCAGCTCACTTGCAGAGGGCTACATGAGATTAGATGACAGTGGAATAGGTAAGATTAGGAAAGTGCAACAAATTACAACATAACAAATAGCATCAAGGACAAGAGTCGTCTTTTCCATACATGACCAAATAAAAGTTTACAATCTTGACAATCTTTTTTTCCCCTTTTATAATGATTTCCTTTTTGCAAAAAAAAAAAAAAGAAGCAAAAAGTGCTTTTACAATAAATGTAGAAAGGATGAAAACATTGATGAACTTGTTTATTTTTTTGGAGGGGGAGGAAAAGATGCTATTTTTCCTTAGTGCCTAAAACCTGCATGTTTCAATAGCAAGTAGACTGCACCCTGCAGCAAAACCCTTTTTTGTATCCTATCAGTACTGAAGATGAGCAGTATCCTATCAGTACTGAAGATGAGCAGAGGGACAATGTGCTGACAGCAACATCCTGCCCGCCTTAGTCTTTTAGGCCACAACATATAAGTTTACAGTGTACATTGCAACACATGACAGCGAAGAATATTGAATTTGTGGTACTGTGGCTATGTCCATGTAACCACCTTCTAGCATGTGGAAAGCACCAGCGTGAAATCTACCTGTAAACTGAACAAGATCATAATTTTCTATACAGAACCCACAAACCATGCCTCACGTACACACAGAAATCACATTTCAGCCACACAGCACAGAACAACTAAACAGAACCACAAATAAGCACCTCCTAGCAACACAGCACATACATATCAGCACCATAGCATGCTTGAAACACATATAAACTAACACTCCTGACAGCATAATGTGAGCATCCACTATACATAATTATTACTCCATACTGTGCAACAAAAAGGCATTCAGAATCTCAAAAAGTTTTTCTGCAAACAACCCCAGGTAAGAGAACTGTCAGCATCAAGACATCTGCTGGGGTCCACCTCGCTTTGCTAGTCCAAGTTTGAAAACGTAGGAACGGTTATTGTTTATGCTAGTTGTACGTATGACATGGTCTGGTTATTCCTGGGCAGGGGCACATCATATTTCCTCTGATGAAAAAGATCAGTGATTATATGGTGACTTTAGTGTAGCGGTGGCCCATGCTAAGGATTACATCATCAGTAATCACTACATGCAGATCTAGTGATTATGCTTCCATTAGGAACCCTAGTTCTTAGTCAAACTGTTTTTGAGCAGATTGACCAAAACCAAGGGTCCTTGTAGCCTAACCAATTGCCTAATTGTTGTTAACGCAGTAGTTCCATTTTTGTAAATTTAAAAATAACAATAATTTATAATTGGTTAAGCAGGCTTTAAAGAGACACTATAGGCACCCAGACCACTTAAGCTCAATGAAGTGGTATGGGTGCAGTGTCCCAGCACCCTTAACCCTGGAAAGATAATTATTGCAGTTTTTTTTTTTTTAAATAAAAAGAGCAAGAGCCACCGGAATCCCCATATGAAAGCATTGAGTAATGCTTTCCCATGTAGAAATCGCGTGAGTGCGTCTCCGAGCCAGCGGCGAGGGACATTGGTCCTAAACCCAGGTAAGTGCCAGAAGGTTTTTTTTAACCCTTTCTGCACCTTGGCGGGAAGTGGGCACTGTAGTGCCTGGCAAACAGCCCTTTAATAAATGCCCAGTTCATTCCGACAGAATGCGTGAAAATAGATCCTTTCTAGTTTTGCCTCCTCTAGCCTATTAGAATCGGAAATCCTAGTTAACTCGAATCTTTCATCTAAAATTTGCGCTTCCTTTGTCAGTTTCCATAATTCCTGGTTTAATGAATAAAATCCAAGGGTTACAATAACACTTTTGAGAGAGGGCACCTTGACGATGGAATACGCCCTATTAGGCATTATGGAGAAGGTGCCCCCTCTCAATTCACTCTAAAACCTGACAATGAAAGGCTACTGCTTTTCTGCGCTCCCTCATAGAGAAGCCTGTGATTGAGCCAATTCAACACCGCATGCGTGCACTCCGGGTTGGTGATGGGAGCGCCCACAGGACAGGAGGGTAGAGTACTTGCAAGGGGGAGATTTTTAACATTTGTTGTCAGCATGCAGTGCTCACTCCTACCACCATCACCATTTCAAATCACTGATAATGGACTTTGGTTAGCGTAATCCTTTAAGTGTAACGCTCCAACTACATGGTAGACTATATTTAGAATTACTGAAGCTGTGGAGTATGAGAACCCTGCTTTGTATATAGATATATTGTGTTTTTATAGGTTACATATATACAAAGATCATAACTTGATTTCTTATGCTTTTAGGTGCACCCAGTCAGCAGTTTTTGGAGTCACCCGACAATGGCGCATTTCATCCATTTTTAAGAGCATATGGGTCCCAGCACATAAATCAGCAAGACAGAGGTAATCTTATGTGTATATATAAGTATATATGTGTGTGTGTGTATACTCAAAAACATACCCAGTAAAGTTTTTTTTTATTTTTTATTCTTGTGCATAAATTGTGACCTAGAGGCTAAGGGTAGTGGAACATGCCTTCATACCTTGCTGCCTCAGTCTTTTTAAAGTCTAAAAAGCATGTGGAACTGCATAGTGTTTCCACGACACAATTTTTAACAGCTAGACAAATTTATCACAATGGCAACCAGTGTGGCCAGACAACTATCTGATTTAGCGCAAAGAGCTGCTAGTGTGGAATCTGGATGATCACCCCAAGTCCACGATGATGCATATCACAGTGGAGGAACAATTCTTTAGGTCTTAAAGAATGATATAGAGTGATTATTTTCCTCTGAAGTTGGTGTACCAATGTTATAAATGACATCACTTTAAAATTACCTTGCACCCAAATTACTATTTGCTGATATTAGATTAACATTTTCCACTTTGTTGTTTTTAGAAGCATTGGGCATTGAGAAACAAGTGTCCGATTTAAAGATATCTGAGAAAGATGAGATGGCTTTCTATGAAAAGAGATACCAGGAGAGGGTATGTTTTCGTTGAGCTCCTATAACATTTTTTTTTCATGAAAAATAAAATTATGTTCATTGGATGCAGGTACACTATCACTATTTCAAAAGGCTGTCAGTATTATTTCTGTATTGTAGCGTTTATTTAGCTAATTTCAAGGGACTCTATACAGAGTACTATTTAGCAATCTTCTAATATTTCCATATATGTATGTATGTGTGTGTGTGTGTGTGTGTGTGTGTGTGTGTGTGTGTGTGTGTGTGTTTTGAATATGTCATGCAAATAGATGGCTAATATATAAAATAAGATATTGCAAAAAATATTATAAATATTATTATTATTTAAGTATTCACACATATTTGACTCTATTCCTGGCCAATTGGTTTTAATTAATTACGACACTTATACTCTGCACTAAAGACTAATATATTTGAGAGTCCAATTAAAATGGTATATTTTATAGACCAGTGACAAATGCTTTTAAACTGGTATGAACAAATCACATTCTTTTTAATCTACTCCCTGAACGAATCGATCCATCTGAGATTTGCCTGTGGAGTCTTAAACATTGAATAAGACTCCATAGGCAAATACCAAACGGATGTCAGTGTGGATGTGTACCTGTGTCTGCGTGTATCTATGTGTAAGTGTATCTGTGGGTGTCTGTGTGAAAGTGTGTGTGCGTTTGCTTTAATGTGTATCTGATTGTGTGTGCAGTGCATACATCCCAACCTTCAAAAATCAACACTGCACACAAATCTGCACTTGTATTTAAACACCAACAATACAGACAAACACAAACCTGCATTCAAACACAATCACTACAAACACACACACACACACACACAAAACTGCATTTGCCAAGACTACGCACAGATAACCCTTGCATTCAAATGGCAACAGTACATACAAACACAAAACTGGATTCAAATGCCAACACTACACACAAATCCACATTTTTATTTTTGCAAGAAAGTAATAAATTACATTTATGATATCATTAAAAGTTGATGTTTGTGTCTGCTTTTTTTTTTCTTGTTTGCACATGTGTGTGGGTGTATATACATTTTATGTAATTGTCCCTCCATGCTTATTTCAGTGGACAATTTGTCTCTCTAGAACACACACGTTTTACACTCCTGCATTACAGCATAACTCCCAACATTGAGAGGTAGGAACACTGGGCAAGGATGGGCTTTTGTGAGTGTGCCAGTGTGATACCATTGCATCACTGGCAAACTGAAATTGGTTCTGCCTAGAAAAGGATAGTGGCCAGGGCCGGCCTTAGGGGTGTGCGAGCTGTGCGGCTGCACAGGGTGCCATGGAGTAGGGGGCGCCATGTGGCCGACACAGCTCACACATGGCCGGCCGGGATTTAAAAAAAAAAAGTGCAGCGGGGCGGAGTTTCACGTGTGATGGGGCGGGGCATCCATGAGGCAGGGCGGAGCTAAAAGTGCCAGATAACTGCTGTAGGGGAAGCAGGAAGGAGTCCCTGCTTCCCCAACAAACAGTCTCCAGGAGCTGCACTGCCTGTCTGCCTCCACAAGGAACAGAGGTATCTGTGTGTGTATGACTGTCTGCCTGTGTGTGTATGACTGTCTGCCTCTGTGTGTTTGTGTGTGTGACTGCCTGCCTGTGTGTGTGTGTGTGTGTGTGTGTGTGACTGTCTGCCTGTGTGTTGGGGTGTGTGTGTGTATGACTGTCTGCCTATGTGTGTGTGACTGTCTGCATGTGTGTAACTGTCTGCATGTATGTGTGTGTAAGACTGTATGTGTGGCTGTGTGTGTGTGTGTGGCTGTCTGCCTGTAATTGTTTGTGTTTATCTAGCTTTGACTGTGTATGTGTGTTACTGCTTGTACCTGTGTGTTTCTTCCTGATACTGTGTATGTGACTATCTGCCTGCGACTATGTGCATGTGGTGGATTTGACAGTGTATATGTATAACTGTGTGCATCTGACTGTGGGACTGTTTGCACATAACTCTGCAAAAATATACACCTGCATTCACACACAGGCCTAAATGCATGTTTTTATCTGAATTAAATAACCATCACACACAGCCAATAAACCCAGCACAAATATCACATACAACCAATACACGCATATCACACACTGTTAATACACCCATTACAAATATCACACACAGCCAACACATAGCATACATATCACACACAGTCATCACATCTGTCACATACACAGACAACACAAACATTACATCATACATGGATGACGGGGGGCTGGAGGGGCGCTGTGAAGATTTTTCGCACAGGGCGCCTAAAAGCCTAAGGCTGGCCCTGATAGTGGCTACCCAGGGAAGGGGCATATTACTCTGATGCCTAGCCTCACTCAGGGCTGACCATACACATAGTGCTGCTGAAGTACTCTGTGTTTGGTCCTAGGACTGATCTCATTTAGCACCACACAAGTGTGTCTAAGTGGGAACCAGCCGAGATGGCAGAACAGTACTCAAAATAGGGACAGTCCCGTCGTATATGAGACTCTTAAGGAATATGTTTACAGAACTAGTAGTAAGCACTTGACATGTCTTTCAGTGGAGTGGTTGAACCAATCAGAGTTAAAGGAAAAAAAGCTTGAAAGTAATAAGACTTTTTTTGAAAAACAAATGAATAGATTTTTCAGAACAATTGGATAGCTGGATAGGCTGGATACCAAATTATTTTTTTCCCCTATTAAACCTTTTCTTGAAATGTTACAATTTCCAAGTGGAGAGTAAAATGTTTAAAACATATACACATTTACTGACCATGCTTCTAAAACTAAATATTTTATAGTTGCAGAAAGAAAAGGAGGAAAAGAGACGAAAGAACGTTAAACCACCCAGCATGCCAAAGCAATGAAGATTTTTAGCTGTCTTGGAAAATGTTTGGCAGTTTTTGAAGATCCTGACTGTATATAGCTATTGACTTGGCAAATGGATCATTCCCAAGTTTTGCTTTGAAATGTACATAAATTGACGCAATATAGAGTGAGCATTTGTTTAGCTGCTAAATAAAATACTAATTAATTATTCTTAAATATACTGCAAAGCAATGCGGAAAAAATAAACAAATGGGAGGAGCCAATGAAAATTGAAAATCACACTCCGGAAAGTTGCATTTTGCTACTTCAAAGGAGTATTTGCGAGAGCCAACTGAACTGGTAACTCACCCATTTCTGAAGTAAGAGGAATTTTATCTTTCAAATTAAAATCTATAGATATTGCATATACCCCTCTTTTTTACATTTTCCATGGTAGTGCTTTGGGAATCAAAAAGTTGTTAGCAAGGTGACACCACGTAAGAGTATACAAGTAGTTTAAACCAATGCCAGAATACTAGTCAATGAAAAGGCCATACATACTCAGCCCAGTTTTACTGAAGTAATGGATTTGATTATATCCCTTCTTTTATATGTTCCTTGGCTGGGGTCACTACTGTTTTGAAGATAAAGCAATCTCACATCTACCTTACAGGATTTTAGTTTATGTTGTAATCCTAATTTATTTGGATTTATATTTATTTTCAGTCTAATTTTACTCCTATGCACATTTGTCTTCAATGTTGGGATTCTTTTTATGCGTATGGATTTAAAAAAATAAAATCAGATTGGTTCCTAAATGTATTTATTTGGGGCATTTATTTATGCATATATGCAATTTAAATCTTCAACCTTCCCCTAATATTTATCTTTTTCTTCCACCCTTCTTTCCATTGCTTTTAGACTTTCAAATTATCCTTTTAAACTAAAGGAAGATAACTGTATCATTAAGATTAGTAAACAAATTTCCCAAACACTTTATAGAATTAATACTTCATTAAGAGATAAACTGTTTGGCAGTGTTGGAGCTTTGGTGCGCTTGTGTACTTTAAAAAATTTTTTATTGGCAGCCATTCATAGGCTGAGAGCGCCACCTGACATTCAATAGCCTATCAGTGGTCACTTAGCTAACCTTTCCTTATACTGCACTGAAAAGAGGAATGGGTGCCAGGGCGCAGAAGCACTGAAGCACCAACATTGGGGGTAAAATAGTTTATCCCTTGAAGAAGGTAGCTGGACACTCCTGCCCCCAACTTAAAGGAATTTTTTATTGGCAGCCATTCATAGGCTGAGAGCGCCAGCTGACATTCAATAGCCTATCAGTGGTCACTCAGCTAACCTTTCCTTATACTGCACTGAAAAGAGGAATGGGTGCCAGGGGGCAGAAGCACTGGAGCACCAACATTGGGGGTAAAATAGTTTATCCTTTGAAGAAGGTAGCTGGACACTCCTGCCCCCAACTTAAAGGAACACGACAGGGTTAGAAACATAAGTCTGCAACTGCTGGCTCTGCCCTTGATCTTCCTGCTTGGGTGACATCATTAGAAGTAATTCTCTGAGCCAATAACAATGCTTCCCCATAGGATTGGTTAAGCTTGTCAAGGAGGCAGATCAGGGGTGGAGCCAGCACAAACCAAACACAGCCCTGGCCAATAAGCATCTCCAGATAGACATGCATTGAATCAATGCATCTCTATGAGGAAAGTTCGGTGTCTCCATGTAGAGGGTGGAGAAATTGAATGGCAGCACTGCCCCAGGAAGCACCTCTAGCAGCCATCTGAGGAGTGGCCAGTGAAGTTATCCTAGGCTGTTCTCTGAAAACAAAAGACAGTGTTAAATGCAAAAAGTCTGAAGGTAATGATTCTATTCACCAGAACAAATAACATAAGCTGCAGTTGTTCTGGTGACTATAGTGTCCCTTAAATTTGCTGTTAGAGAAAATGTCATTTACATTTGCTCACTTGAGGTCTATTTATTGCTCAGTATACAGTAGTGTTATAGCAGGAAGAACAATAGCAGTAACAAGCAGTGTTAGCATTAACGTACATCAAGCATGTCAAACTCGCGGCCCACAATTAATATCTTTGCGGCCCAGCCTATATAACGGTATGTAACAAACGTTTTAATAAAAAATTATTTTGTAGCTTAATTTTTACAATTTCCAATTATACATAATTATTGATAATGAACCACAACGTTCGCCAATGATTACTATAGTCGTGGTGCATCTATGTAGTGACCTCACGTGAAGGCGCACCATTTTACCCCCAACTAATATTAGCAGCAAATATTTTAGCAACCGATAATACCTACCACGCCATTAGTCTAGTACTGACTTGCTTGGTGTGCCTAACAGGAAATATTTTGCTTTTGGAGAACAAGAAAAATAGGTTTATTTACGTTACACTTATTAATTTGTGCAGGTAATCTGTGTTAACAATTACGCATATATTTCAGCCTTTTATATTTAGTATGTCTTTATTGAAACCGAGTGGTAATAAAACTAATTGAAAAATTGCTGACGAACATCGAAAAAACATCGAAATGTCCAATAAAAGTGGGAATTGGAGTTTTTTTGCTGTGAAGTAATAGATAAAATAATCTGCTTGATCTGTAATAATGCTATTAGTGTACCAAAGTTATATAACATTAAACGTCACTATGAACAACATAGATCAAAATATGATAATTACGAAGGATTAATGTGACGAGAAGTTGAAAGAGCTCAAGTTGGGACTGAAAAAAAACAACAGTTCATGTTTACTAAAGTATCACAAGGGTTGATAGCTAACCTTTTACCGAAGATAATTTTATCAAGGAATGTCAAATTAAAGCTGCAGAAATTGTATGACCTGGAAGTGTAAAGGCTTTTCGGGTAATCTCTTTGTCTAAAAAAAATACAGTTGCGGAAAGAGTTACTGATTTAGCCGGCAATTTAAGTGATCAGATCAAAGCAAAATCTTCTAGTTTTTAAGCTTTTTCCATGCCTGTGACGAGAGTACATTTCCCCCTAAAATAAATGCACTCAATCCCATCACTCTGAGCCAGGGTGCAACTGAACTAGGACCCAGCACCAGGTCCCAGATACTATATGTAGAAAATACAAAGAGGTTCAGGCATTCCATGGTTCAGAACGGCAATTTATTGAAACCCAATGTCACAACACAACATTTCGACCTACACGTTGGTGGCACGGCTAAATTAGCTGTGTTTCTTCGTGCGTCTGACATGGATTTCAAAATTTTTGAGGATTTATTGGAACTAGTACCATTGTGTGGCACTACTACAGGACAAGATATATTTAATTGTGTTAAGAACTTCTGCAAAAATACAATCTACCTCCTATTACTTCTGTAGCTACAGATGGAGCTCCTGCAATGACCAGAAAAATCAACGGCTGTGTGGGATTACAGCGAAAAAGTGAAATTTATGATGGTTTCAAGATTCATCATACGCATTGCATTTTACATCAAGACGTATTATGCACGAAGGAAATAAACATGGAATATGTATTATCAAATTGATAATTTTGATTTAAAAAATGATCAATTTCAGGTTTAAATCAGGGACAGTTCTCTTTCTTAAGTGAATTAGAAAGCAAATATTCCGGTTTGTCCTACTATACCGAGGTACATTTGCTATCCTGCTTCAAAGTTCTTAAACAATTCTGAGACTTGAAAGAAGAACTGTGTCAGTTTTTAATAACTAAAAACCAACACACAAGATTGTTTTCTGATCAGTATGGTTGCAAGATTTATCCTTCATGTTTGATATAATAAAAAGATTTGATATAATTATACGATTTAAATTTAAAACTGCAAGGAAAAGATCAGATCATTACGAACATGTGTGTCCAAGTTAAAGCATTCAAATGTAAGCTAGTTCTTTAGAAAAAACAGTTGAAAAATGAAGATTTAGCTCACTTTCCAACATGCAACATAAACAAATCAGGTTTAGGTGAAACTGCATCGTATTAAAAATTTGCAGAAAAACAATTAAGCCTTAGAACTGAATTTAAAACAAGGTTTGCAGATTTCAAATTTTTGGAAGACAAGTTTTCTTTGTTTTCTTACATTTTCTCAATAAATATAGAATCAGAACCTAATCATATGCAAATGGAGGTAATTGACATCCAGTGCGATTAGGATTTGAAGGCAAAATTCAGTGAAGTTGGTGTGTGTAAATTTTAAAAACATTTGCCAGCCAGGTTTGCATATGCTCGAAAATTTGCATATGAAATTATTTCACTTATCGGTGCAAGCAGTTATTTACACTTATGAAAGGAAATAAGTCTCCGGCCAGATCCAGAATTACTGATATTCACCATGGGTCAGTTTTGAAAGTCTGGAAGACAGCCACTAGAGGCTGCTTTAACCCCAGATGTAAACATAGCAGTTTCTCAGAAACTGCTATGTTTACATCAGGCAGGGTTAACCCTAGAGGGACCTGACACCCAGACCACTTCATTGAGCTGAAGTGGTCTGGGTGACTATAGTGTGCCTTTAAGTAGGAAAGATAGTAGTCGAGAAGCCAAGTGTCAGGAAGAAAACTAAAATTGTATTGTTGTTCTATATTTATTTATTTATAAAATATTTTACCAGGAAAGATACATTGAGATTTCTCTCATTTTCAAGTATGTCCTGGGCCCACAAATCATTGCATTGTTACAGTAGGGTACAATAAAATACAAAGACAATATTAATACACAATAAATACAAAATTTAACATAGAACAGGCAGGAAATATATAATCCACCATGCCAGGTGCATTCTGTTTTGAGGTATGTAGAGAGGGATCTCTTAAAGGACTTTAGGCTTAGGGATGATTTTAAATTGTGCGGGAGGTCGTTCCACAATTGCGGTGCTCTGTAGGAGAAGGAGGATCGGGCCGTTTTCTTTTTGTATTGAGGTAGACTAAGTAAAGTTTTGGTACTGGATCGGAGCTTATAGGAAGTGGGAACAACTGGGGAAAGCATTTTGTTCAGGTAGGTGGGAGTTTCCCAAAAAAAGCTCTTAAACACAAGGCTGGAAAGATGAAGGGTGCATCTGGATTCCAGCGACAGCCAGTTTAGTTCTTTTAGCATGTCACAATGGTGAGTCTTGTAATTACATTGTAGCACAAATCGGCAGAACGAGTTATACAATGTGTTGAGTTTATTAATGTGGGATTGCGAAGCAGATGCATATACTACATCCCCATAATCAATGATTGGCATCAGCATTTGCTGTACAATCTTTTCCTTTACTGTAGGGCTTAGGCAGGATTTGTTTCTGTACAGGTAACCTAGGCTTTTCTATGTGCAGGCCAAAAGATAGATTGGGGTCTAATATCATACCCAAGTATTGGGAAAGAGTGGACTGCGGTCAGTGTGCCATTTGAATTTGTTTTGATGGATAGGTGGGAATTGTGTAATTTGTGTAATTTAGGTAATGTTCCAAAGATCATTGTGACAGTTTTGTCAGTGTTCAGGAAGAGTTTGTTTTTTGCGATCCACCTTTCTACCTCTGTAAACTAGTCTTGGAGCACAGCCTCAAGTTGTGGTAGATCGGATATGCTCGCATAGATTACCGTGTCATTTTTGCGTAAATGTGTACATTTGAGGATTTGCAGACATTAGGCAGATCATTTATAAATAATGTAAATAGTAGGGGGCCGAGAATGGAACCCTGGGGAACACCACACGTGACTGGGAGAGGGAGGGAGTCGCTGTCAGAAATGGACACATATTGTGAGCGATTCGATACATACGATCGAAACCAGGTTAGCGAACGATCACCAATACCTGAGTTTTTGAGTTTGTGCAGTAGAATGTCGTGGTCTACTGTGTCAAAGGCCTTAGCAAAATAAAGG